TCGGTAAAAAGGGGGCATACGGCCAGACAAACATTAAAGGCAGGCCAATCTTGGCCGTAAGGTACTTCAATTTTGAGGAGGCATGCGGCCAATCTTGAAAGGCACGACGGCCATTGGCCGCGGTGCCGCGGCTTATGTCTAGCCCTGGACTGGTGAAGCTAAATGTAACTGAAAGCCAGGGAACGTGCTGTTAATGTTGACTATTATAAATGTATTATCTACTACTATCTGAATACGTGAATGTCAGAAGACGACAACAAGGCTAGCTAGTCTAGTTGCTATGTCTTTAGCATCGTAGTACCCCAGCCTTGTTCCCTGTGCAACCTGGGTCAGGCTCCTGGACCTGAAGAGCAGTTGGAAGACAGCATCACAATTTATGTACTTTGAAGGTATTTATGCATTTTGAAGGTATTGTCTTGCTAGTCAAAAAACCATCCTCAAGGCAGCTCTGGCACAGTCTCAGAACTGGTGCACACTGTTCACGGTCAGACGCTCAAGAACTATGTGCTGTACTGATGTATCGCGTGAGTAACTCTAAATGTGGCCGCATACTTCAAACGACATCTGGACGCACGTGACAGGGAGTGTGGTGGTTCTGTGTCACACACAATACTAGAGGGCGTACAATGTTTTCAATGCAGTGGGACCACAGAGAGTGCAAATAAATTATTCTTTGCAGTTTCTACCCATGAACTGCAGGTTGGCTGCAACATCTTTAAAATGTTGATGTCACATCATAAATGTGGATAACTTTGCAGTTCAGCAAATCTTCCTTCAAAGGCATCCATGATTGCAAAGCCTTTTGTATTCTGGAATATTACATGGCACCAGTGACATGAGAACATGTTTTGTGGAGCTAATTGTGTACAGTGGGCAGGATCGGAACAAACAAAACAAAAAAAAAGTTTGCTTTGGGTGCCCTACACAGGCAGTGCGGCGCAACGGTGCTCGCTGCTCATATGACCTCATATCGCTAAAACGAAGCCAATTTCGTCAATGTTAGATAAAGTATGTAGGCATCTTGAAGTATGACCAACAATTACTGCTAGTTGTCAGAATGGCAGCTTTTGGCACCTGCTGCAAGCTTGTATCACGGTGATGGTCAGCGACCGCAGTAGTAACAGCACAGTCACCATTGCTAAACATGTGGCTCTATTTCTGCTGTTGGTACGGTTCTGGCTCGCTGGTGGAATGAGCCTTAAGGCCGTACTCACACTTGGCCCGGTTGAATGTTCCCCATTTCCCTGCTGGTCTGCGCTCACTTTGCGCTTAACCCTCCAGGCCCAAGCAGGCTTTTGTCATCACTCTGTGCCTTTTTGTGTTGAAGAAAACATAGGTAGAAATTTGCTACAGCACAATGGACTTCATGATTCATGTCTTTATTTTGTGGCTTATTTGGAGTAGTTTAGGGTGCGATACCACACGGCCCTCTTAAAAATTTACAAAGTATGCAAAACAGGGATTTTCATTTAATCATTCTGCATGTATAAGAAGATATCCTGTATTTTACCAAATATTTTGTGTGTTGCATCTAGTTTTTCCTGGGTATTTTCATCACCCCAAATTTCCTGCAAACACTGCACCTCTGCCAGAGACCAAAGTGATCCTTTTACTGCCATGTTTGTTAAATATTTGTCACTACCCCATCAGAACAGCCTACCCGATCCATTCCTTTAGGGTTCAGTTCATGTATAATGTACATGTGTGCATGTGTGTGCCTGTCGCATCACTGACATTGTGTCTGTTAGGCACGGTTAGAGATCATGCTAGATGCATACCGTTCCCATGACCTGATTTTGGGGGTCAAACGTGCTTGGGCACAGTGCAGATCACCTAGTGTTATACACTGACCTGGTGTTACCCTGCCTTCCCTAGGAAAACCCAAAGCATGAGGATACTTGGAATCCTACTATTAAGGAGTACATTTATATAGATAAGTGGTCTGTTTAAGGCAGCGGCCCTTAATTCTTCCCTGAGGGCCAAATTCCATCAGTATCACAAAGCCATTACAGTGCAGATTGGGGGGGGGGGGTCGGTTGCATGTTCTGGATTCAATTGTATTTCGGTCTGGATACCGACCGGAGTCCACTAGTTAGTGACCACGGGTTTTAGAGGTATTAATGTCATTTGAAAAATACAAAAGGACACATAATTTCTTGCACAGTACAGTTTTACCTGCCCAGGGACAGAGTCCCGTGCGCCTACACCCTAAGCCTACCACACACCATGTTTCACCTACACCCTAACCCTACCGCACACCATGTTTCACCTACACCCTAACCCTACCGCACACCGTTTCACGCTATCTCAGCTCTTCCGTGTTTGGGCTCCTACGAACATTCAAGTCCCATCTGACAGCTTAAACCTGGTTTCTGCAAACACGGAGACACAACACTCTGTCTGACGCAGAAAGAAGGATATCTCTTCATTAAAATACAATCACAGCAATAACAGGATCTACATACTACACAGATCTATAAAAAGTGATGCTTAGACGTGAACAGTTGCTTTCGCTGTTATAGACATTCTCCCATAACTATCAGCTAATCGGTTTGTGTGTCAAACGTACCGGTCAGTGGTAAGTGTACGTTCAGCCTCGCTGGGCCTCCTGCCTCGCGCTCAAACAATAACCTTCTCAAACACTTCAGATGCACGGGGCCTAATCAGACAGCTGTTAGCTGGCTGCATGTGGCTCGTCTCGCAATAAATGCGCACAAATGAAGCATTTAAATCAGACCCTTTCATTGATATGCCAAAAAACCTACCAGTGAAAATGTCACAGATTATACTGGCAACAATGTTGCGATGGTTTGTACTTTTTCTACGCCTTCATTCACCTATCGTGTGTTAGTAAAGACATCACAGAGCCCACAGGTAGCCTTTGCAAATGATGTATGGGTCAGATGTCCTGTCCTATGGTACTGATTGCATGTTTTACGTAAGGCAACATATGTACATATATAAATGTATGTTGGGAAAAAATCAGTGTTAACCTTTAAAAGTTTTTTTTTAATATATATTTTCAACATTAAACTTATAAAATTAATAAATATGCTACAACAAATAAATATATAGATGTGATGCTTAGAAGGTGTAGAAATATTAAAAAGTGTAGTTCCTATACCCTCACAGTGGAAGTCTGGCTGAGCTCATATATATCTATGTTGTGTTTAAACTGTCCGCATCTCTTCAGTAGCGAAGGTAGGAGCCACACGGACTTCCTGCTTTTCAGTGTCTGCAGCATTATTGTGAGGGATATATATATTTATAATATATATATATATATATATATACACATATAAAGAGAGAGGGATTTCTTTTCTGATAGAAGCATCTCCTATGTGCAAAAATAAACCAGATTGAAGTAATAAATATAGAGGTCGAGGAGCCGCCCGGCCAGCAAGTGAGGGTGGAAGGTGTTATGATTCTCCGTTGACCATCATCTCGTCCCCGTGCTCGGCGAGAATCTTCCAATTCTGCCGGTTCTTCCTGCAGCCCTCGAGCAGCGGCGAGCAGTACTCGGACATCCCTGCCAGGGTCTGAGGTGGGGGGGGGGGTGTTTTACACTCATGAGCACGACAATGAAGAGCATGCGAGCGCTTAGCAGACAGCTGCGGTTGGAGGAGAGGAACCTTGGTCCATCAAAGGCTGCAGTTCCTACTTCTGTTATATTTATATATTAACCACCTCATCTCTCAAAGTCTGGCACCAACCACCAAAGCAAATTCCTTGTATGTGTGAACGTACTTGGCAATAAACTCGATTCTGATTCTGAGTGGAATTTCAGCAACTAGCAGCAATAAGGTATCGCCACACATCTAGTAAGACTAGCTTCTTTCCATACGATGATGTCATCAAAGAAATTAGGGAGCACAGAACCTGCACATCTGGTCCTCTGTGATGGACCACGGTTCCTCAAACCTGATCTAGATGGAACAATGCATTTGCAGGTTCTTAGCAATATCCATTAGATCTACATAATATAGCATGACCCTGAACTGACTGGACCAATTCATCATTAGTACATCCAGACAGGGTTTATAAAGTCAGTCCAATCAATAAACATCTTGTTTTATTTTAGTAACTATCTCATGCACAAACACATGTACACCAGACGTTGGCTGTTATTCATCTAATGGTGCTTTTTCACTGCATCGGGTACCGTATTTTTGGCGGATGTATTTTGTCTTTCAAGGCAGGTTATGGCTATGCAATAAACACATTTGCAAGTTCCGCCCCAAAGTACTGAGGGAGTACATCAGCTGGTTTGGAACTTTTCATACTGGTAGTTTTGGTACTGGTACCTGACCTGAAATCAATGGAAAAAGAAAGCCAGTGCAGTGGACGGTCACTCACCTCATACAGCTGTGTGCAGATGGCGTCGATGAAGGACACCTGCATGGCTGGGATCTGGTCCTGCTTCTCCCGGTTCATCAGGTCCTGGGAAAGGCGAGATGACAAGGGGGCAGGCAGGGATGGGGGGAGGAGATGGGGGTCAGTGCATGCGGGGACATCAGTACATTACGACAGAGGGTGGGTGGGGAGTGAGTGGCGCTTTGAAGTCAGGCACATTAGTGAGTCACTGACGTTTTGTTTTGAGAAAGGCATCATGGACATAGAGAGGCCCCCCGACCACGGCCGGCCTCGCTCTCCAGGGGAGCGTGGGTAAATAGCTCAAACCGGCACCCAAAATACATCAGAGTGCTGGAAATAGACCCTCGCCGGCTTACGATGGGCTCGATGTTGAGCTCTCGCCTCTCTTTGTCTCCCTGCTCGAAGAATTCCGTGGCGACAAGCTCGGCGATCTGCAGAAAGACAGCAGAGAAGTAGCAAAAGGAGGGAGAATGGAGGCAGAGTTACTCCCCTTAACCCAAGAACGGGGACTACCGGCACAATGTAAGACGGAAACGTCAGGAGACTCGCTTGTGGCTCATTCTCCAAAGAGTTATCCTCATCTGCAGACTGGTGGAGCCATCTCAAACTCACTATAAAAAGGTCCTAGCTGAAGATACTACTGGACTCCAGGACTATTATTACAGGAACCCAAGACCTTCCAAGTGATTCTTTCAAACCAGTAAAGGTTCCCAGAAGCAGCACTGTGGCTTGGACTGTGGTTAACGTCTACATGGTCCTAACCCGATCGTGACCATGGTATGTGCTTGCAAGTCTTTCTCTGGGAAGGATAGCCAACAGGATCATGGCACACGAGGTTGGTGACAGGGGCAGAGATGGGTTTAACCAAAGCAACAGGAAGGTATGGGTTTAACCAAAGCAACAAAAGCCTGCCATTTTGGCCTTCCCATAGGAACAAACACTCTCACATCAATCATCCGAACCACATAACAGGCCTTCTTCTGTTATTACAGTAAATCCCTCTGTATACAGCTCAGTGTAGCGGGAAGAACATTAGCATGACGGAGGCATCCAGCCCAGCCCGATTCAGCATGGCCCTCTACCGGCCTTAAAACAGCAAAGTGGCTCAGCCTGGCATGAGCTTCAGCAGCTGAGAGCAGGCCCACCTGGACTGGCCACTTGCCATTCAGGAAGAGCGAATCATACCGCATGACGAAGACGTTCATATGCTAAAGCCAACAATAAAGGCTCGGCATTTGGTTCCCATGAGAACCCAAGCGAACGGCGGATGGGATGTGACAGGGAGCATGGCCGCGGCCGACCAATCAGAGCTCTGCCGCCAGCCAAGCCAAACAGTGCTTCTGGGAAATAAAAAGCTACTTTACTTGGGTGCCACAGATGATGGATGTAACACCCAACTCTCAAGGGTACAAACAATAAGCTTAAATCAAGGGAAGAAGTTGGAGGATGGGCCAGTAGGTTCAGCTGCTGGAGCACAAGGAGCGTTCAAATTAGACATCAGAAGCCAGACTTTAACAAGAACCCTTTTTAATATCTAATAGGAAATTGTAGAAAGAGGAAAAGAGAGATAAATAAACAGAC